AACGGTGCCCCTGCCTAATTTCATCGTAACATATAGGCCTGGCCTACAGAAAAGAACATTTACGTTTAAGCTATCTAATATTGTGTTGGTCATACTATACAATGATTAATAGCTTGTTTTTTTTTTAATAATACAGAATATAAAGAGCTTTAAAAAATAATTGCATATTAAATTGCAATCTTGGTAAAAAAAAAAAAAAGGCAATTAGATTATTTTCCAAAATTGTTCAGCCCTAATTTGTATGTATACTTTAGAATGGCTGTCCTGCAGGAAACTCCATTTACCACCAGCTTCAGTCGACAGCAAAACAACCCCATAACAGGACTGGTCCACCTCCATGTTTGACCATGGAGATAGTATTCTTCTGCTTTGCCTTTTTTGCAACAGACATACCGCTGATCCATCGGTCCAAAAAGTTCCAGTTTGGTCACATCACTCCATAAAACATTCTTCCAGAACTCCATAGGTCTATTGAAATTAATTTTAGCATGTTCAATTTGTCCTTTTATGTTCTTCTTGGTGAAGAGTGGCATTCAGCAAGATGCCCCAACATCAAAGCCATACTGATAGTGTTCTCCTTATGCTCATCATTGAAGTGTTTTTCCTCCTTTTATCAGGTCATCCCGCAAGTCTTTGGCTGAACATTGCAGGTTTTTCTCAGTTTCTCTGATGAAACGATTTATGATATTGTGCTTTTCCTTCAACCAACCTCAGAAGTCTTCGGGGTACAATACATTTTAAGCTAAGAAATAAGGCTGCCAGCTGTGTCACTAGGAACTTTTAATGTCTTGGAAATCTTCATGTAGCCTTTCTTCTCTACAGCTTAGGCTAAGTTTATATGTGTGTAACAGCTCAAGCTAATTCGGTTTTTAATAGAGTTTATAAAGGCTTAATTGTATCTTAAGACAAATGTATTCCCCATCATTCAAATAAGTGACTTAAAACAGCAATGACGTAGCCGTTATTAAAAAAAATCTAAAAATTTGAAAGCTTGTATTTGTAAAGTATATATATATATATATATATAAAATGAAGAGGTCACATTTCTTTCTTATGTACCATAATCTACTATAAAGGTCATAGCAACTGTGAGCAAATATGACTCAGTAATGTCATCCCAGACTACTTCAGAATGAACTTAAAGCTTAATGCATAATGATGTTGATCAGTGTCCCATTCATCTACATTCACCCTACAAACACCATACTACAGTCACAATCAGTATCGGAAATTTGGGCATTACACGTAAGTATGGTTTTATCACGGTAGTTGATTGTTAGTGTGCACGACCTACAGTATAATCTGTAACTGGTTAAATGAGAAGTGGACATCTGGTAGTTAATGTTCTGTTTGACAGACTGTATAGAATGAGTGTGTGAAGGTCAGTACTCAGTAGATTAATAATTTGCGTTTTATCATGATGACTTACGGCGCTGAAGCATCTGACAGACTGTCCGAGCAGCCATGAGCATCACACAAAGATATCCTCTGCAACAGAAACTGATAAATACAAATTACAGATCAAGAAAAAATAGGTGCATAAAGCCGTTAACTGACAGAGATGAGCGACACGCTTGCGCAGCTTCCGACTGGAGCGCTGCAGCGACAAAAACATTCCGTGTGATGCGACGGTGAGCGTTTGGGGTTCCGCTTTGATTTTACCAAGCTTTACCGTTTTTCTCAGTCGCTTTGGTGCATTTCTCGAAGCAGCCTTAATATTTGCAAAGAAGTATGTGCATTTCTCAAAACAATTCGTACAAACAGCACCACAAAATGGATAACCTGCAAAAGCCTGTAACTTACTCAAAACCTTTAGCTCACCTCTCAAAAGTAAATTTATGCCAATGAACATATCAGTGCCATCAGAATGAAAAGTCCTTGTGTCATTATTCACAAACAAGATGCTCAAAATGCAAGATGCTCAAAAGTCAAAATACTAAGTCATGTTGTCAATATAACAGTGCACTCTGTTATTATTACCTGATATAAACTATTGCAACAGTTTGGATGACAGTTACTGTATTGAAATGCAGAAGGCTGCACTTCCTATGCATGCCATATATCCATTTCAAAAGTACAAATTTACACACTACTGTATGTAAGTAGTGTACTGATTGAAAGAGACTGGATAGGATTCACAGTTACCCTTTTTACAAGTAAAAAACACACATTATAACGTTATTGTGATATAGAAAAGAAAAATAAATATGGGCACAAAGGCGAAAATACAAAATTACAAAGTCAAACACAGGAAACCCACCTCAGCCATTGTAAGGCCATGACTGACAACATGGTCCTTATTTCATTTGATACGCGCCTGTGCAGGGGCGTAGTTTGTGGGGGGGATGGGGGGATATAACGCCCCCCACCCCCCAATATTTATACCATGGTTAATGGAAACCTCGAACCAGGCTATTAATGAATTAAATCGCGCCTTCTGAGCTTTTATAAGTGCTAACTTTACTTACGAACCGAGCACATGACTGAAGCACAGTTCACCAGCGCGCTCGAGAAGTGTGAGGAGATTTGCCCGAGCCATTCCTATCGGTCAAATGTGTGATCTATTTGAATTATTTAGAGAAACAGCCACTTTAAAAAAAACCTTATGAGTGAGCAGGACCCGGGACTCTACTAAAACAGTTCACACTTCAGCCCCCCAATGTTCAAACCAAAACTATGCCCTTGCGTATGTCCTTGGCCTCTATTGCCTTTTCCTCTGTTTTGTCTCTGTACCCTTCCACCATATATTCTTACTCATATCCTCCTCTCAGCTGTTGATCCTGATCATTTCCTGGATGTTCATCGAATGTCATAATTTGTGGTGTCCTCTGTCTATGCTTTCCAATTGAAGGTTCATGAGATGCACCTTTGAGCTATTTCAGAGAACTGGTTTATAATTGGATTGATCTACATTTCTCTTCATTAGTGAAAGTCAAGATTCACCTCCACAATTCACGGCAAATTTACAAAAAGTCTAATAGAAATTAGTAGAAAATATGCTTTGACAGTTTATGACAACTAGATCAACAATTTTGGATTTAATTACTTATACGATGAATAGATGTTTTGAGGGGTAAGACTATTGCACAGAGAACTACATAATACATTTTGAGCAACATGAGATTAGCAACTGATAATGTAGGAAACCGCAGACAAATGCACATAATCAATTACATGAATGTACCAAAGCAATCGCAACTTGTTCAAAAGAATGAGAAACTGCTTTTATGATGTGCACAAGTGAGATGATGTGGAGGTTGAACAAGTAGTTTTGAGAACTTCATTTCTGATCTGAGAAATGCACCAAAGCAACTGAGAAATATTGTAAATAAGTATTTTACAGTTTATGTCATGTTTAATTATAGTTTACAATTACAATTTATTAGTCTGTATTTATTATTAGAACAGTTATACATTCTCTTGTGTCACATAACTTTAAGGGGCTTTCTAGAATTTCAAATAATAAACTCGTCAAATAATTTTAATAGAGCACATCACAGATTATGTAAATATATTGAGTTTGTAGATGATAGAGCAAAATTGTGCTTTCTGATGACCCAGAAAATAACTGACCAACAAAGATGCAGCATTGTCAAAAGGGGGCCAGTTCAAATAAAGGATTTCGATATTCCTCAAAATTGTGACAAAACTCCTCATCGTTTCACTGCAGACTGTTATTACAAAAAATGAAAAACGAAGAGAAAATAAAGAGAAATTGGTTAGTTTATTCAGTCAGTAATTCTGTGTTCTGCTTCTGTTGCAAGATCTTTGAAAGGGGAAGCACCTATTCACTTAGTAGTGGTGGATTTCTCTCGTGGATCAATATCCACAGTCACTTAAAAGAGAATGAAAAAGGCAAAGCGCATCGCGCAAATATGCAAACCTGGCACGAACTTGAAGACAGACTGAAATCAGGAAAAGCTATTGACAGCACGAGTCAGGAATTGCATGCTCTTGAAGCACAGCACTGTTTTGAGCAGAATAATTGCTATTGTCTGTCATTTAGCAGAACGCACTAAGAAGGCATTCAGAAATACTTTTTGAGTCCCATAATGGCAACTTTCTCAGACAGGTAAAGCTCTTAACACAGCTTGACCTTATAATGACTGAACACTTGAAGAATTGAGAAAAAGGAGGTCAAAAATCACTATTTCAGTAAAATCATCCAAAACAAGCTCATTGCATTAGTTGGAGAGAAACCAAAGGATGCGATTCTTCAGAAAGTCAAGAAGGCATTGTACTTTTATGTGATAATGGACTGCACGCCAGATATTAGCCACAATGAACAGCTATCCTTGGTGCTTCGCATTGTGAATTGTGAGTCACTGGTGGGAGCAAATATTGCAGAATACTTTGTTGGATTTGTCAATGTGAATGTTACCACAGGGAAAGGCCTGTTTGATACCCTAATTGAGCATCTTAACAGTTTCAGATTGAATATTTCAGATTGTCATGGTCAGTCCTACGATAATGGGAGTAATATGATAGGACACAAGCAGGAGTCCAGAAAAGACTGCTCGAGATCAACAGCAAAGCTCTGTGTGTTCCCTGCAGCAGTCATTCACTGAACTTGGTTGTGGCAGATGCTGCCAAGTCATCTGTGCTTTCTGTGACATTTTTTGGCATTCTTCAGTGTCTGTATAACATCTTCAGCTCATCAGTACAACGCTGGTCAATTCTGCAAAGCCATGTGCAGCTCACTGTCAAAAATCTGTCAACAACAAGATGGGAATGTCACATTGACAGTGTGAAAATACTATATCACCAGTTGCCTGAGATGGTAGAGGCCTTAACTGCACTTGGTGAACATGCAGCAGAAAAGGATGAAGAGACACTGTCTGTGGCACAGAATCTGTCTAAGGAACTGACATCCTGGCAGTTTGTTCTTTGTGCTGTGATCTGGTACAATGCATTTTATCAGATTAATCGCGTAAGTAAACTTCTGCAGAGTCCCAAAATGTCAATTGATGTTCTCAAATGCCCTAAAAGGATTCTGTATCATTTTGAATAAGACAGTGGACACTTTTTGTTTTTTTTTGGACACTTAACAATAATTTTTTTATATCTTATACTAAACTGTAGACAACATTTTTTTGTGCTGTTATGCAGTTCAAAGTAAAATAAATCCAGTTTTTATATGTCTCACTTAATTCAATATACTCAATATTACTGTTGTGCAATTCAAAGGAAAATCTTAGGCAATGTTGGGGTGCGGGGGGCCCCAGGTCCTCACTTTGCTTAGGGCCCCCAAAATGGTAAACACGCCCTGTCTGTCAGAGCGAGCGTTCGTGTCTGTGTTTGAAACTGGCAACTGGCGGCCCACAATTGTCTTTTAGTGCGGCCCGCGGGATCATATTTTACTCTCGGATGATCAATTTTAAAACATCTGAAAAGTAATTCACGGAAAGATTGGTCTCAGTTTATGATGTTAATACTAACTCCAACCAGGAGAGGTCGCAAGTTTCCAGCTGCTATTAATTACAGCGTCATAGGATGTGCAGTCTAATGTGAACATTCACTAACATTAGCAAAAATCAATTAAATATTGACAATGAAAATCGTATTTTCCAGTCAAGATGGCAAACAGATGATCTTTTTTACCAAGTTCCAGGGGGTACCCATAACGTACCCCAAACGTAATCTGTAATGAAAGATTTTCAATCTCCATTACACCACTGCTCACAAAGTATCAAAGAAACACAAGGGATGCCAGAGTCGCTCGCACTTGGCTAAAATTACAATGGTAAAATGCATAACAAAACCTTTTTGTCAAATGCATGACAGAAATGTTTGCACTGAATTATGTTCTTTCGTTAAAAGTCTTAAAGTTAATTGTTTCAAATTTAAGGCCTTAAATGGTACAAGAAAGTCTTATTGTTGTGATGATGTCATACTCAAAATAAAAAGAAGAACGTGGTGGGTAGGTGCTTTTTCATTTTAAAGTCCTCCCTCCGTCACTCATGTCAATCACTCCTCAGTCCTCGTCTCCCACATCTCGTACATTCTCATGAGAACTCCTACAACTATACTACATCCCTTCTCTTGTTAATATTAAGTCTATAAACTTAAATAACTTCATTACTAAATAAACTAACACAAAAAAACTTCCTTTTTCCTTCTTCTTCAAACTAAACAAAGAAGGGTTCCATTTAACTAACACAACCACAACTATTACTTCAAGTAACCATATCCTTGAACTTAGCTGGTTTCTTCACAAGACGACCACTTCTAGTCATGAACGGTTTCTCTGCAGGGCACAGTCTCTGGTAACTTCTCTTTCTCTGTAGACTCGTCATTCTGCACGTTCTCCCTTTGCACTTGTTCACTTTGCATATGTGAGCTCATGCTCTCCTTCTCAAGCTCAGGAACAGGTGAATCCGCAAACAAAGACATTTGACGTTTCTTTTGATCAAGGATCCATCTTGAGTTCAAATGAACTGTCTTACGTTTTGTTCAGAAGGACATATCTTGTGCTTTTGAACCTTGAGTCCAACTTGCTTTGCTCCATATTCGCAACGTGGACTATATCTCCCACTTTGAATGAATGATAATTTGCTCTGTTTGTTTTATCTGCACAGTCTTTAATTTTCTCCTTGTATATCTGATGATGCATCTTGACTTTTTGTGTACTCTGTTCTT